GTTAGCACATCCTGTTGAGTCCTAGAGACAGTATTCTTCCCTACACCTGCCGACAGTCTTGTGAGACTCTAATGCATTCAGATAGGGGAGAGCTTTGTGAATGGCACAGGCCCTCAAAGTCAGAAGCAGCATCACTGGGTTGGGCACTGGGTAGCAGAGACTACACACCTACCTTCATGCCTTCTTGCACCCCAGCCGCTGCTTGCTGGCCCTCCCCTTCTGCTGGTCCTCCTCCCCTTAGTGGGGCTAGGTTTTTGTCTCTAGTTGGCTTTTCTCCCTGACACCCCACAGGGAACCCTCAGAGCTGCAGGGGCTGGAGGCTCTGGAAGCAACTGCTTGGGCGCTAAAGATGGCAGAGCATGAGCTGGGCATCACGCCGGTGGTGTCTGCACAGGCTGTGGTGGCAGGGAGCGACCCACTGGGTCTCATTGCCTACCTCAGCCACTTCCACAGTGCCTTCAAGAGCACGCCCCACAGGCCAAGTAACCTGGAGGGAAGGCGGGCAGGATGTGGGGGATGGGAGGTGGGAGGGATGGGGAAGTGTGTGTTGCAGAGAGCCAGAAGACACCCTCTGAGGGCCAGCCTAGGAGAGGTGTCCTTCAGGGTTGGAGAGTGCTGTCTGTTCTAGGGTACAGCATTGGCACCCCCATGGACACTGATGCCCTGGCTCTCCCCACAGGCCCTGTCAGCCAGGCCTCCCCAGGGACCTCCAGTGCTGTATTATTCCTTGGCAAACTTCAAAGGACCCTGCAGCGATCCCGGGCCAAGGTGGAGAGTCTAGGCGGGGTTGGAACTGGTCAGGGGTACCCAGTGGAGATCCTGGGGTGATGGTGAGGACATTCAGAAAGTAGGGAGGATGGGGGGCTCAAAACATCACACCCAGAGCTGTTAGGACTTCTTGCAGGAAAATGCGGAGGATGTTGGTGGCAAGAAGCTGCGCTTGGAGGTAATTCAGGCAGGGGTGGGTCGGTCTCTTACACTGAGGTTTTATCCCTTTTCCCGGTTCTGTCTTCCCTCTGCCCATCTCATGTCTTGCTCCCCACCTCAGGTCCTATAACCCCCTGATCCAGCCTCCCTGCCTAGTCTCACTCCCCTTCCCCTCAGCCCCTCCTGTTCATCTGTACGCGTCCCCTCCCAGCTGGCCCTGCCCCTCTAGCCCCCTGGCCTGAGCACATACCTCCTTAGATGGAGGCTGAGACCCCAAGCACTGAGGCGCCACCTGACCCAGAGCCTGGTGTACCCCTGACACCTCCATCCCAACACCACGAGGTGAGAGCCAGGGCCTCGTGTGCAGGCAGAAGCCTGGGGAGAGCAGGGCAGGGGTGTTTCATGGGAGGGAAAGAACTTTGCAGCTGGTCTTGGCTCCCCCTGACCCCATGTCCTAGGGGTCCATGCAGGCCGGTGCCGAGGACCTGTGTGCACTTTGTGGGGAACACCTCTACGTCCTGGAACGCGTCTATGTCAACGGCCATTTCTTCCACCGGAGCTGCTTCCGCTGCCATACCTGTGAAGCCACACTGTGGCCAGGTGGCTACGGGCAGCACCCAGGAGATGGTGAGTGGGCCTGAGAGACCTCCACAGAGACTTTGGGCCTGGCCCTGCCTGGGGGACAAAGAGTCTGAGGTAGAGGGGCACAGGGTGAAAACAGGCTCAAGATGGCACTTTCTTCTCCCAAGCTCAGGGTCTTCTCTTTCCCCTCCAAAGCTCCAGATGTGTGGTTCTAAGAACAGGAGGCTGGCAGAAATTCACCTGCAAATGTGCCTTGTTTTCCCCACCTTCCTTTGTAAACGTATTTTGTGTCTGGGCGCCGGGCTGCCCACACCAGATGCCTCCTCCCCTCTCCATTCTTTCCAGGACATTTCTACTGCCTCCAGCACCTGCCCCAGCCAGACCACGAGAAGGAAGGCAGTGACGGAGGCCCTGAGAGCCTGGTAAAAATTGCGAAGGCGTGTGTATGTGTGCCGGGGCAGGGGAAGAGGAGTGCCTTGCTGGGGGTAACTGAATGTCTTCCTCTACTAGGATGTAAGCTCTGTGAAGGCGGGGATGCAGGTCTTCTTACACTTCTTGCTCTCTCAAGTGTCTAGAACACAGTCAGGCACTGTTTGTAAATGGTGTTAAGTGAATGAATGCCAAGGCTCACCTTTGCTCCAAAGGGGTGTCCTCCCCCTACCCTGGCAGGTCACTGACTGCCCCACATGGTGGTTTTTCCAGGAGCTCCCCACACCAAGTGAGAATAGCATGCCCCCAGGCCTCTCAACTCCCACAGCCTCACAGGAGGGGGCCAGTCCTGTTCCAGGTCTCAGCCAGCCCAGCCGTCGGCGGATCCGCCTCTCCAGCCTGGAACGCCAGCGGCTGTCCTCCCTTAACATTACCCCTGACTCGGAAATGGAGCCTCCACCCAAGCCCCCCCGCAGCTGCTCCACCTTGGCCCGCCAGGCCCTGGAGAGCAGCTTTGTGGGTTGGGGCCTGCCAGTCCAGAGCCCTCAAGGTAACTGCCATCCCCGCAGATGTGCTGACCCAGGGTGGGACGGGGTGGGAGCATTGGCTTCCTGCAGAGGAATTCTGGGGAAGACAGAGGGAGGATGTGGGGATCCCACATCCTCCCAGGCCATGGCAGCCTCTCCTCTGCTCCATTCTTCTCAGTTCCTCCCATGCCCCCCACACACATTCAAGTCTTTACCAGACTCGCAGGCCTCCGTCACCACCATGCTCTTTGTTGCCTGACTGGGGCAGGTGTTGGAGGCAGTCGAACTTCTTAGTTCTTCTTATTCTCAGTTCTTGTGGCCATGGAGAAGGAGGAAGAAGAGTGTCCCTCCTCCAGTGAAGAGGAAGTGGAAGAAGAAGATGTGCCTTTGGACTCAGACGTGGAGGTGAGTGGGCCAGCATGCATCCATGAAACGCTCTCCAGCCCACCACAGGAGAAACCTGCACCATGCTCCGTCCTCTGCACCTTCTCTCGGAATGTCTTCTCACTCTAGGCCTCCACCTTTTCTACCAGAGCTTCCCCCACTTTCAGTGCAGGTTCTTTTCTGCCTTTCCAAACAGCACTCCTATCCACCAGGGGGCCCAGGCCTTCTCCCTGACTGCCTGTCCCTCCCATAGGCCCTGCTGACCTTGGCCAAGACCTCAGGCACCATGAAGAACTACCCAACGTGGCGTCGGACTCTGCTGCGCCACGTGAAGGAGGAGCAGATGAAGAGGTTCCGCAAGGCCCAGGTGCCCAGGGGTTCCCAAAGTTCTGATGGGGTCAGAGTTCTGAGACTGAGATCAGAGCTCCTTCAGCGCTCTGTTCCGGAGCAACCCAGAGACTCCTGGGTATCCTGTCTTGTACCCCTCAGGCCATCCAACGGCGACTACATGAGATCGAGGCTGCCCTGAGGGAGCTAGAGGCCGAGGGTGTGAAGCTGGAGCTGGCCCTGAGGCGCCAGAGCAGTGAGTGACAAGCTAGGACACCCCTCTGCCTCCTGGCACTGTATTCAGCCAGGCTCCAGCCCATAGTCCCAACGGCTGCACCACACAGCTGACACACACCTGTAACCCTGATCTCCTGACATCCCTGAGCCTATGACTCCTGTGGCGCTGGCTGGAAGCCTCCTTACCACTCCACCCATCTTCCTTCTTACTAGGTTCCCCAGAAAAGCAAAAGGAACTATGGGTAGGACAGCTGCTACAGCTCGTTCAGAAGAAAAACAGCCTAGTGGCTGAGGAGGCCGAGCTCATGATCACGTAAGGGGAAGGGGATGGTGACAGTGGCCCATGGGCCAGGCTCCAGCCCCTCAGGCACCCTAGAGAGCTCTGCTTCTACAATCCTTGACTTCCACAGGGTACAGGAGTTGAACCTGGAGGAGAAACAGTGGCAGCTAGACCAGGAGCTACGAGGCTACATGAACCGGGAAGGTAGGTGGGATGTGGGAAGAGGCAGACGCATCCCAGGGCTATGTTGCGCAAGCCTCGTGATCTCAGATACTGACCAAGCAGCATGGTCCTGTAGTCTGTGTACCTCTGAGACAATTCAGGAGGAGGGGACGCCAAAGCCCCCTTCTCCCTTCAGTTCAATCAGAGCTACACAGTTGGCTTTTACACAAGATCTCCTTCAAAAAACTGCTGCTGCTCAGTAGTGCTAGAAAAGCACTGGTGTTAGCAACCCTCCTAATTTTGCCACTTAGGAAACAAAGCCCAGGTTGTAGAAATCACATAGAGGCTGGACCCGGTGGCTCACACCTGTAATCCCAGCACTTTGGGAAGCTGAGGCGGGCGGATCATGAGGTCAAAAGATCAAGACCATCCTGGCCAACACAGTGAAACCCCATCTCTACTAAAATATAAAAATTAGCTGGGCGTGGTGGCACATGTCTGTAGTCCCAGCTACTCGGGAGGCTGAGGCAGGAGAATTGCTTGAACCAGGGAGACGGGGGTTGTAGTGAGCCGAGATTGCGCCATTGCACTCCAGCCTGGCGTGCTGTGCCTGGCGACCAAGTGAGACTCTATCTCAAAAAAAAGAAAAAGAAAAATCACATAGGCTGGGATTAGGTTGTGGCTCTCCTGCCTCCCCGCCCAGTTCCCTGTTCTTTAAGCTTTGTCTCCTCCTTTCAGAAACCCTAAAGACAGCTGCTGATCAGCAGGCCGAAGACCAGGTCCTGAGGAAGCTAGTGGATGTGATCAACCAGAGAGATGCCCTCATCCGCCTCCAGGAGGATCGCAGGCTCAGTGAGCTGGCCTTAGGGACAGGGGCCCAGGGCTAGAAGAGGGTGGGCTGTCTGCCTTGGTTTCCACAAGGAAAACACCTCACCCCTACACAGTGCCACCCCTGTTCATCTGGGCTGCCTGGCAGAGAGCCTTGCTGTTTATAATTAAAATGTTTCTGCCACAAACACTGCCTCAGGTGGGAGGTGGGGGCATATATGGGGACAGCAGATGTGTAGGAGCCTTCAGGTCTGTAGTGTGACAGTCATGCTGACCCCTGGCTCCCACCATTGCCTCGAGGAAAAAGGCAGAGCCACTAAGTGCCAAGCTTTATTGCTCTTTATTGTTCCGCTCCTGCTGTCCCAGAAGTAGGGCTGGCTGAGGCCCTGGGCCCAGATCCTGGGACTCCCTTGCCCTTCCTAGAACATGCTGGAGCTCAGCCTGGGCCCTATATAAGCCATTGGCCTCCTGCACATGGAAAAGGTAGAATGCACCTGCCCACAGCACCAGTCCTACACTGGGGGTCCAGAGCAGTATGGCAGCTTCCCTGGCCCCTCCTCCAGCCGCCAGGACACACAGCAATGCCAGGAAAAGCAGCCCCAGGCCAATCACATAGCTAGCGAAGGCAGCCCACCAGCGAGCCTGAGCCATGCCCAGACCCAGCTCCGTCCACGCCTCCCTTAGCACACTCATCAAGGGCAACCTCTCTGCTGGTCCTAGAACAGGGCAGGGCAGTAGGGCAGGAGAGAGTCAGAGTGGAAGGGCTGCTTCAAGTGGGGAAAGGGCCACGGGAAAGGGTAGGGGTGACTCACCATGGGTAGAGCCGGGGTTCTGCTGTGGGGGGCTTTGCTTCACACACAGAGTAGCCATCAGGGCTTCATGATCAGAGAGGGGGGTGCCACTGTGAGGGTCGTAGCCTGTAGTGGTTTCAAGACTCTTACAGGAGATGTAAAACCCAGAAACTGCCTAGGAAAAGTAAGGGCCAGAGAGAAGCTTATATATGAGGGCCTCTTCCCAGAGAAACAGCTCCTGGCTACCCCACTTTCCAACCATCAGTAGTCCAAACTAGACTAGCTGAGCAAAGGATCTATATAGGCTGGTGGTAGACAGAGACACACAGCGGATGAAGGCATGTTGGGGGAGGAGCCTGGCCTTGTAAAGCACGTAGTCAATACGGATGCCAAAGGGAAACGGCTTTAGCTCCTGCTGGTTGACGTAGCAGTTCTTGGGCACCATTGTGCTGCCTTCTTCAGAACCCTAAGAGAATCATTGGCTCATGGTAGGATGTGGGGGAAGGAGGAGGGAGAGAAGCTGGAGATATGGGTGGGGAAATAATAGGCAAATCCTCACCTTGAAGTCCTGAGTCTCAAGGTAGGCATCACGAAGCCCTATCCACTCCTTCAGCAGGCAGCAGCCCAGGTCTTCAGGGTGCATGTTGAGGTCTCCACACAACAGAACCACGTCTGCCTTCTTGGATGTGTGGCTGGGGGAACCAGGCTGGTGAGGCAGGAGTTCTTCCCTCACCAGCTCTTCCCTGTGAGTGAGGCCTTGTTCACCCTCAGCCCACTGGGTCCCATCCCACTTCCCCTTTCAAGCTCAGGCTCACACACTGGATGAACTGGGCCAGTTCCCAAGCTTGGGCCACACGATGCGCTAGGTAGATGTCCTTTCGTCGATTGTATTCGGCATGGAGCTGAGCAAGACAGAAGAGATCACAGCAGGTAAGAGTGAGGGTCCCAGGAGTATGTCTGAATCAAGCCTATATCTGACACTCGCAGAGTGTTTGGTATAGAATGGATACAACTTGCCCAATGCTTCCTTATAAGGTCTTGCTCCCACACCTCACCCCCAGGCATTAGAGCTAGAGGAGTACCGTCTCAGCGTCCCAGGACAGGGCTGCATGTCCCAACCCTAGGCACTGCCAGCTTCACTCACATGGGTCACATAGGCGTTGAGCACCACACCGCTTAGATGGAGCACCAGCAGCCCCACAGCCTTCCCACTGAACCAGTCACCGTGATGGATCTGCAGGCAGAAGGAGGCGGAAACTCAGGGCACCACCACCCCCTTTCTGCCCATCCCCTGCAGCTCTCTCTCAGAAGGCTGCCTCCTGTAGCTTCTATTACTGGAGGTGGGGAAGGGAGGTGGAAGAGGTCCGAGGTCTGGCTTACCATGTAGGGGTAGCCATTGAGAGTGTAGACGTGCTGGGTGAGCTCCTGGATTGGGTGTTTGGAGAAGACACAGAGGCCACTGCCAATGATGCCGCTGAAAGCCAAGCCCTGCTTAATAACCAGAAGAACAGGGAGAGACACCCAGCCCTCCTCCCCTCCCTTGCCTATCAGCTCTGATCAGCTATTTTTTCTTTCTCTACTGCTGGGACTAGCCCTAGAACAAAGGCAACAACCTTGGGAGGAGTTTAAGGCAGCCAGATAACAAAGCTGAAATGGGCTTAAGTTATAGGACCTTCTTGGTTCACCCTTCTCTCACACCCAGAGGGAGAGGAGGCTGGAGGAGAGAGTGTGGGATGCAGGCAGGATAGGGAAAGGCTGGCAGAGCCGAGAGCCTCCTGGGCTGAGAACAGGCTTCACGCCAGGGGGCTTCTCACCTGCGGAAGTGGTGTGCAGCTGGGTAGGTAGGCGACAGCTTCTGTCTCAGGTACTGGAAGTCCTGCTCACTCCACACCTGAGGGAAGGTGTGAGGATGCCTGCTTGGCCTTTCCCCAGAGGGACTGTCTGCCCCCAGGTGCCCTCCTCCCAGCCTGGGTTCTGCGCGGTGCTGCACAGCCTCACCTCCTCCAGTAGAGCCAGGTCGAAGCTCTCCTTGTTCAGAAAGTCTCCCAGGCGTTTCATGCGGTCGGCCCGGTGTTTGCTCAAGTAGGGAATGCCCCTAAGGAAGGAAAGAGCAGGGCAGGGGAGGTGACTGCTGGGACCACGGGGGCTGGGGCCAGATGCGGACTATGGAGGTTCGGGTTCCCCCTACACCCTGAGATCGTGGGGTGGGATGGGGCCGTGGACGGGCGGTGAGGAAGGCTGCATGGGTGCGAGCCGAAGGGGCCCCCAGATCGCACTCCGCGGACGCGCTCACCAGCAGTTGAGGTTGAAGATCCGCAGTCGCAGGGAGAAGTTGGGCTTCATGGCGGGGGCGCTGCAGGGGCGCGAGGCGGCTAGAGCTCCCTGGCGACGGCCGCGGGGGGGACGGGGGCGGCCGCTGGCTCCTCCTCCCCGGGCCGTTCCTTCCTCGCTGGCGGCGCGCACAGGTGGGCACCAAGCCTGTGCAGCTTAGGCCCCCGCGTTCCCCAGGCAACCGGCCTGCTCGTCCCGATCCGGCCGGCCGCCAACCCGGAAAGGCAATCCGCTGCCGAAATCCGGGCGCCCAGGCTTGGCGAGGGCCGCGCGCGAGGACCCTGAGTGTCCCAAGAGCGCCCCCGGGCTGACGGCTGCCGGTTACTTTTCCGCTGAGCTCGTCCCGGGCCGCCCAGCAACAGGCGCAAAGTTGAGGAAAGGCCCAGCGGCCGCCGGCCGCCCTCGGCCCCGCCCTCGGCCCCGCCCCCTGCGAGCGGCAGGGGCGAGGCCGTGCGGTTGCCTGAACGACGCGCAGTGTTTGTGCTCCTGGGGCGTCCCCGCGCTCGGCCATGGCAAGTCCGCAGCCCTGTCGGCCCCAGCACGGCCGCTGCGGCTCGCTCCCGCTACCCGAGCGGCCGTTGCAGGTGAAGGTGGTGGGGCTCTTCAGCTGCCCCAACTTTCAGATTGCGAAGAGCGCTGCTGAGGTAACCGCAGAGAAACCTCTGTCGCGGGCGGCCCTCCCAGCTCCCCGCTCTCGGCCCCGAGGACTGCGGGCGCAGCGCCTCCTCGAGGCGGCGGGGGTAGAGGCTTCACGGGCGGAGGAATGGGCTGGCGTGTCCGGGCTGGGCGGACTCCGTCTGGAGGAGCCAGGGGGCGAGTGTAGGGGGCAAGTTAGGGTCCGGGGGCGGGCGTTCGACTTTGCGACCTTTAAAGGGAAAACCGAGCGAAGGAAGGGTTCTGAACCGTGCTGGGAAATAAGGTAATCCCCTCCAACACACACACACACACACACACACACACACTGATTTTATTCCACGTCGATTTTTTATTGAATTATAGATTATAAAATTTATGGAAAATGATTACTGTATAACTAGCAGAGTTTACAGCCCCCCTCCTTCCCCAAGCGATTTTTGTAAACTGTTCCTTCGGGGAGGAATTCTCTGAATTCTCTAGAGCCGTTACTGCATTCCAATTGAACTAGATGCTTCATGGATTTCTTAATAAATAGTTCACAAGTGCTTTGGAAAACCGTTTTTTTGTAAACACTCAGGATGGTATTAAAGGAAAAGCTCTTGAGGAAAGTGGAAGAATTTGGCCAGATCAGCCATGCTGCAGCACACTTACAACCTGAAATGCAGCAGAAATGTAGATATGTATGAAATGTCAGAATGTAGAATTCAGCCCTTCTTATAGGGTTTGCGCCAGAGATGCTGCCCCTGCCAAGCTTCTCACCAAACCTCAACTTGTCCCCACGACCATGCCTTAATGTTTGTAACTCATGAAATATCCAGGTGGATACTTGACAACAAAATGTTCCCAAATAGAAGACATTTTGGGCGTGGTGACTCGCGCCTGTAATCCCAGCACTTTGGGAGGCAGAGGCGGAGTTCGAGACCAGCTTGGCCAACGTGGTGAAACGCCGTCTCGACTAAAATTGCAAAAAATCAGCCGGACATGGTGGCGGGCATTTGTAATCCCAGCTGCTCAGGAGTCTGAGGCACAAGAATGGCTTGAACCCGGTGGGCGCAGTTTACAGTGAGCTGAGATCATGCCATTGCACTCCAGTCTGGGTGACAGAGCCAGACAGACCCTACCTGTCTCAAAATAAATAAATAAATAATAAAAAGAAAACAAGTGATCAGAAGTCTGTGAAAATAATACATGGATCATCAAAAGTAGAAATTGTGGTCTGTGTTGCTTGGGCAGATGGGATCAGCAACCTTTTATTACCAAAGTTAATGGCCATAAAGTTAATTACAAACTTAATGTATTTAATGAGTTTCAGAGACTTTTTTTCTCGTTCTTCCTTGCTTTTTTTCTGAAGGCACATATTTTCTTTGACGACTCCACATTGTCATGAAAATGTTGGCGAGTTTTTTTCTGTAAAGTCCAGGCAGTAAATATATTAGGCCTTCTGGGCAATAGGGTCTCAGTCACACCTATTTAGCTTTGTCCTGTGTTTCAAAAGCAGACACAGGCGTGGAAATGAATGACAGCATTCCAGTAAAACTTTATTATGGACACAAAATTTAACTTGCATATAATTTTCACATAACATGAAATACAATTATTTTGATTTTTTAAAACTGTTTACAAATCTAAAAATTATTCCTCTCCAGCCCCGCTATAGAAGACACTAGGTTGAGAAAACAATATCTTTATTATCTTAATAATGTCAGTTTTCCCTTTCTTAAACTTTTACCTACTGTAGTATATTCCAATATGAAAATTCAGCTAGTTTTTTTTTTTTTTTTTTTTTTTTTTT